TCCAGCCCACCCAGGCCCTGACGGCAACCCATTCTCCCTCTTTCCCTTCAGATGGCAATGCCTATGTTGACCTGCGGGTCATCAGGCAGACAGTGCATGGGATTTTGCTGGAGTGGTTTGTAGTGGCGGACGCCCCTGAGGAGAAATGGTTCACCCTCTACCTTGCATCGGATGACATGCTCTGGAAGGAGGTGGTGCACATCGGCCCTGGAATTAACACATACACTGTGGAGGACCTCCTTCCCGGCACGAAATATGAGGCATGCCTCAGCTTGGAGGGCCAGCCCGCACGCAGAGGCCGGTGTGTGGTCTTTGTGACGGGCAGAGACCACAGCAAGCTGGAGGGACGGGAGCGCCTGCTGCATGTCGCAGTGGTCCTGTGTGTTGTGTTGCTTGCGGTGCCCGTGGGCACCTACGTCTGTGCAGCCCAGGCCCCCTGCAGCCGCAGGGCGTGGGGGCTGCACTGCTGTCCTCAGCTCAGGAAGGCTCCCAGGTGCCCCCGTGCTACACCGCAGCACCGGGACTGCTCCTACAGAGAGCACATAGTTGTCTGCGAGGATGGCCTGGGCCACAGAGAGGCTGAAGGGGATGAGGAGCAAGACAGAGAAGAAGCCTGGGGCTGAACAGCTCAGGCTGGGCATGGCGGGGCAGTGAGGGCTTTTAGTCCCTAAACCGACCCTCTGTGGCAACTCAACTTGGCTTGACCCATTTATTCAACATCTTTATTGAGCACTTACTCTGTTCCGGGCACTGAACTTGACACAATAATCAGGAAGACACAATTCTTCATGGAAGGGATGCCAGTGGAGCTTTGGCCCATCTGATTAATTATCTTATTATACATGGTGGCTGGCAATCAATAAATGTTACTCTTTCCCTATATATAGCCCTGTAACAATTACATAGAACATGCCACATGTGCTATCCTATTGGAGAAAGGTAGAATTCTACCCCTTTCTAACCCACAAGTTACGGTCACTTGTGCAGCGTCACCCATCTCATTCCATTGTTTCCTCTAAATGTCTGCTCTGCAGTGTTCTTGTGTCTCCTTCAGAAAGTATTCTTCTTCCTCTTACTGGAAACCCCCAATGAGATCACCTAAGTTTGAGGCTCCAAAGAGCTGCCCGGTGGGGCAATGAGAGCCTGGTGGGTGATGTGACCCTTTATGTGTGGGTGTCTGTGTCCGCATGAGCAGTCCTTAGTGCTCCTGAGAGCCTGGTGCCATCAGCACCGAGGAACAGGAGATTGGCTACATCCCAGGGCTTGTGCTCCGATGATTGTTAGAAAGTAGAGTTGCAAGGGCCATACCCAGAAGGAATAGAATCTATATAAAATCATATGACCCTATAATCATTATTATTATTACCTACAAAGGGAGGCTACAGAATCCTGATTCCCACCTAGTCTCATGTGATCCTGAGCTTCAGGCTTATTTTTCCAGCCCTGGGTCCCTAGCGTCTCAGCACTGAGCACAAGTGTTTATTACATGAATGAGGCTATAACCCCCACTCCCTTCCCCTATTAAATGTTTCAAGCTCTCTTATTAAACCCCTGAGAGGTGATTGTCTCCTCTTATCTGGGTGCACATGGAGTGGAGGTTTCCCCGTGAACCCCAGAGAACCTCATTTTCTCTCCGGGCAGCTCTGCCACTGGTGATCTTTCTCAGATTTAAACTCACATCTGTCTTCTTGCAGCTTCTCCACGGGCCTGTGGCAGCCTCAGTCCTCACATGGCATCCTCCCCATTCTCCCTGTCCTTCCCTCCTGTGGCCAGGGCCCTTGAGGACTGTCAGAGAGGCATCACTGCCTGCCAACAGATGCCAACATCCATGCTAGGTGGGCTGACCCTGGCTTCTCTTGAAGCTTCCTGTCCTCAAGAGTAGCAGCATTGCAGAAGGCCTCAGAGAAGTGGGAGGCTCCAGCTGTGCACCAGCTTTTGCCACATTTGCCAGCTGGACTCTGAGGGACAGCTGCTCCGTCCTGAGGCCCACAGGTTCTCTTAGGGACAGTCTCCTTGGTTCCTGACTCCTTTGGGATGCAGATGTTCCAACACAGCGTCCCCGGCTGCACAGGTCTGGAGCTGTGGCATCTGCCCTACCCTCCTCCACCTCCCTCCCATTCCCCTCTCCTCTCTTCGTACAAAGGAGAGGCTCCCGGGCCTATCAGTGGGTGGAAACATCCTGGAGGTCAGCACGAGCAGGAGTCCTCGCCTCCAGGATATGGTGCTCCAACATGCTGACATCCTCAAATATCCTCTCGTACCTCTAAGAATAGCAACTGTCTCCTGAGCTTGTATCAGCAGATACAAAGCTGCTGCTGGATGCTTTACATAGATTAGCTCCCGTCACCTTCATGGCACTGATTTTTTACACCACATATTGATGTGGGAAGTGAGGCCCAGGGAGGCTTAGTCTCTTGCCCAAAGTCACACACGTAAGCAGCAGAACCAGGATGCAGACTCAGGGCTGTCAGACTGGAAAGTACCTTGTTATTTCATATAGTTAGAAAGTCTGACCTCAACCACAGGAAAAAATACACATTGTCCTGCAGGTTTCCTGGAGACACGTCTGTTGATTATCCATTCCTTTTTTAGGGCCCAGAAGTGGGACAGTCCTCCTAAGCTGAAACCCCTGCCTCCCAGCTCTTTAGCTGGAGGCTTAAAATTATGCCAGCTTAGAGGCCAGGCCTGTCCCAGCATGGCTGGGCAGCAGTCCCTTGGCCCCTGCCATTCCCTCATGCAGTAGAACTTGGCCCAGCCTCACTCCCACTGGATGGCGGTCACTTCCAGTACCTCCACATTTGCTGGAACCCTAGGTTTGGCCATATCTTCCTATTCTTTCTCAGTATGGCTCTTGCCAGCAGCTAGGTACCTTCCCCATACTTCCCAGTGCAGGAGGTTGCCCCAAAGGCCCAGTTTCCAAGACTGCCTCTATCTTGGTTCAAGTTCCGGATTTGTCCCAGAGCCCACGCCCCTCCCAGGGCCTGGATGCTGGCCTGAGCTTCTAGCCCAGAGGCTCTCATGACCACCATCCCAAAGACTGCACTTCTGCCCAGGTTTTCCTGTCCGTGCCAGGTCTCCCAATCCCTGCTTCCGCTGGGCTGGGCTAGGGGATAATTGGTTCTAGCTCCAGAGTCCATTCCTTCCCAAGCAACCCAGCTGGGGCTTGTCCTGCTCAGAAGAAAAGCCCAGTCCAGGCCCCTGATGAGTCAGGATCGGACAGACAAGCCCTGCAAATATTACCATTAGAGGTATACGCGTGGCCATTTAGACAAAATTTTGCAGTCTCCCATGGAGTCAGATCTGGGAGTTAGGGGATGAATCCACCCACCGAAGGAGCCAGGAAACAGACTGAACATGGCTGTCAGGGAGACTGGTCCCTATGAGTCAGCTAACATACATGGAAGCAGGGGGCAGGAGGTCAGCTTGGCCCTTGCTTAACAGATTTTATTGACCGTTTACAAAAGAGGTTGATCACATGCAAATTGGAAGGATGCCATATTCCCCGTGCAGGGCAAACATGGTCCAGCACAGTCCTCTCCTGAAATATATGCTGCAAAACGCCTCTTTGATCAGGCTGGGCTCCCAGCTTGTTAGATTTCATCTCTTAATACACTCTGGGGTGGCGATTGCAGAAACCCCAGCAAGGAGCTTACACACCGGCACATCTGAGTAACACCTCAAAACACAGACTCAGAAATCAAGAAAACCGCATGTGCATCTAATTGGTTTAAATAAAATCACTGATGATACTCTAGAGTGATTACTAGGGGAGCAAGATGCAAAGAACCCTCTCCCTGTACACGTCTAGATTCCTCATAAAGCAGTTTTCCTGAAAGTCGGGCAGAACTTCTTTGCACTAAACATAGAGGCCTGTGTGTCTTGTCTCCTGGGGCAGGTTGTCACAAGCTGATGAGGTGTGCTTGGCCAGGGGCAAACGTCGAGAAGCCAGGAGCCCTCAGACCAGGTCTCTGCTACCAACCTGCTGTGTCGCCTCTAGGAGTTACTCCTCCTTTGGAAACCCATTTGTCATCTTGGCAAAACAGAGGCTTCAGCTGGATGTGCTGCCCAGCTTTGGTCCTCTCTGACGGTGGCTGGCCAGGGCTGCGTGGGGCATGTGGTAGGTGAGAACAGGATGGGAGGAGCCTCAGTCAAGGGCAATGACATCATCCAGCCCTGGCTGCCACGGATCAGGGGCGGCACTCAAACCCAGCACAGGCCCTCCTGGCGGTACTTGGCAGAATAGCCTGAAAGGCTCCTAATACTTTCTGGAAGAGTTGCACCCCAGAGGATTGGCCTGCAGAAAAATACTCTGCATTTGTGCTGCTTTGCACTTGGTTAAAGCCCTTGTTGCCACATATTTATTTCAGTCTTCACCTTGGACCTGTGAGTGAGGCAGTGAGAACCGACTTCATTTTACAGATGAGGAAGTGAGTGATCAGGGAATTTAAACGACTTTCCCAAGGTTATACCACGTGAGCAGGATAAAAACAGATCTCTCCAAAATTCAGCCCTGCACTGTCTCCTCAAGGACTCCCGCATGGCTCCAGCTTGGACATTTCTGGGCCCGCCTGGGCCAGCCCTGGCTGGGGCCATTTCATACCTCTGTGCCCCTGGTCCCGTGCGGATATAACAGGGGCCCACGGTCTCTGCCCAGACACCATCCTCCATCTTTCCAATGGCTTTGAGGAACAGCCCCACAGTTGGTGTGAGTTTTCAGGGCATCACTGCCCGGCCCTGATGCATTTGCTCTCCTACAGCCTGCAAGGGTCACTGACCACAACCTTAGCCAGGGCTGAACCTCCTTTTCCTGTTCCTGCTCTTAGTGGGAGGCTTCAGGATCCAGGTTCTGGTTGGCCTTGCCACATGCAGCCAGGGCCCTGATCCTCCACTGAGGATGCTGAGGCTGCAGGAGGACCTGAGGGACTCGGCGAGGTCTGAGGTTGGTGAGTAGAAGACACCCAGAGCTGGCTCTTTGCTGATTCCCAGCCTCTGGGGAATAGGGAGCATCATAACTGTGCCAATAATCTGGGTGATGGGGAAGTATTTGCAAGTTGCAGCCCATAAATAGAGAAATCCCTCATCCAAGGCATGTCCAGAACCGTGGATATGGGTCTTACATAATGGTACAAAACAGAGGTGACCCTAAGGAGCAGGTGGTGGGGAGCATGGTCCAAGTAGTAGGACAATTGGGCTGGGGAAATGAGGGTCCACAGGACACATGCTAAAAGTAAGCCTTATTACCTACACCCTTCTTCTCAAACTTCTGCCTGAGCTCAGAGACCAGAGCTGATTGGATGGGGCTTCCCACCTTGGGTTTTGGTGACTGTTGGGGTTGCTGAGGGGTGAGTGAGCCAGAGACTGTAGGCACAGTCCAGGGGGCCGTGCCCATCTTGGGCGCCATTGTGGGTGGTGGAGGGGGAGCTGGGGCTTTGGGGGGCAGTGTGCTTCCTAGGCTGTTGTTGTTGCAGTTCTCATTGGAAGGATCCTCTCTGAGCACAAACTTGGCGGCAGCCTTGGTCCTTCTGAACTTGAGCCATTCGATGCGGACGGCACGGGGAGCAGGGCTGGGCCGCTTGCGGAGCACTCGCCGCACAGGCAGGACCTTGTTGGACTTCTTATTACGCCAGAAGGTGGCGGTGGAGATGAGGACGGTTATGACCACAATGATGGCCATGATGCCCGCCAGGACACCCACAGCCTTCATGGGGTTGTCTTTAGTCTGCATCAGAAAGGTGGCCATGGGGCTTCGGGACAGCATCTGGAAGAGAGAGCCGCCCCCTTGCATTCTGTGGCTCCTGCCCAGTCCTTGGAGTTGCTCCCTGAAGCCTGATGGTTTAAAAACCATCTTTCTGGGGTCAGGCATCCCTGGAGAATTCGACTAGCACTATGGGCTTCAGTCCAGAAAAAATGCACACAGAGAAAACGTGATGCATGCAGCTCTCCAGAAAAATACACACCGAGAGAGGATAATGCAAACAACCTTTTTCAGATTAAGAACTCCTGCATTAGCTGGACTCTTTTCTTGGGAGATTAGGGTATTGCTTACCTTTGGTTAGGGAAGGCCTCGCCTGCCCAAATGTATCAGGAACTCCCTTAAGTCAAGATTTTCTGCCAGATACTGAGCTGAGAACTACACATCATGATTTTACTTCTGCCTTTTAACACCCATGTGAAGGAACCTTCACTATTCCCAATTTACAGGAAAGGAAGTGTTAAAAGGTGTTGAAACAAGGATTTCTGCTTGATTCTAAAGCCTGTGTGTCTGATGGCACCGGCAGGCTTTGCTAGCACTGAGTGTCTTTTGGAGGAAGACTGGAGATGGTCTTTCTTCCTTTGATCACACTGCAGCAAGGCCTGAGCTGGTCCTCCGACCCTCTTCCCAAAGCAGACTTGGTACCCACCTCAGTGTCTGTGATGTCAATCTTGAGTAAGGCCGTGGTGCTGAAGGATGGGGAGCCACGGTCCTTGGCCTGCACTTCTAGGGACCATGTGAAGTCCCCACCAGGCGTAATGTTGTGCAGGGCATCGAGGGAGCGGATGGAGTTCTTGAGCCGGATCTCCCCCGTGTGCGCATCGATGTCGAACACGTTGGCTGGCTCTGCATGGGTGATGGAATAGTCCACCAGGTTGTTGGGCTCCTCTGCGTCCTGGTCCGTGGCCTGTGTGTGGGGAGGGTCAGACAGAGCTGGGCTTCATGGATGACACTTGTATACCCTGGCTAAACCAGTAAGTCGTATGTGGCTTGCTGGGTTGATGGGAAAATGGTCCTAGCCCTACTTGGAGTGAACTGGAGTTGGGAGAAGAATTGAATGAGCCAGGGTCTGTGCCAGGCCCCCTACGTGTGTTATACCATTCCATCCTCAGAACAAGTCTGGGCAGTAGGTATTAAAAAAACAAAAGCTAAGTGACTTGTCTAAGGATGGATACAGAGAAGGAGGGGAGCTGGGATTCAAAGTCAAGTCTGGTGGGTTTCAGAGTTCATGTTTCTTCCACGTCGGGAAGACAGCGTCGCATAGCACTGCTTTGAAAGCCAGCCAACCAGCTGTGTGAACAAAGGCAAGCCACTTAAACTCCCCGAGCCTCGTTTCTTTTGTAAAGTGTCAATAATATCTTCTCTCTTAGAGGTTATTTCTGGGTTGAGGTGAGCAGGGGGCTATATAATACACCTTAAAAACCCCTGCTCATTGTGGGAAGCCAATAAATTTTATTTTGAAATAAATTCTTATGCCACAGTGCCTCTTGCAGCAGCCAGAACAAGGCTTTCAGGGAAGCTTCATTGCTTTCAAAGCTCACCTCAATTTTCACTGGGGTCCCCAGCACCATTGTCTTCTCCTGGATACTCTTTCCAAACTGAGGGTAGTGGTCATTGACATCCAGGAGAGTGACGAACACCTCAGCCAGGCTGTATTTGCCCTCCATGTCCTCTGCCTTCACGTAGAAGTTGTACCTGGCCGTGGCCTCAGCGTCTAGGCTGGCCCAGGGCTGGGTGTAGATGATCCCGGTGGATGGGTGGATCAGGAAGCTGCCAGGCATAGGGAGCTCAGGCTTGGGTGTGCACAAGCACAGGAGTATGCATAGAGGCACGAGTGCGTGCGTGTGTGCGCGCGCGCGCGCACACACACACACACACACACACACACACACACAACCTGCAGGAGTGACCTACCTCCAAAGCATTATGCAGCTTCTCCAAAGTGGCCCACCTGATCCTCTCCCCGACCCTGCAGTCTGACTGGGGGAGGCAGACCCATCCATCTACTCATCCACATATTAACCTTGAACTTAGCTGGACTCAGACTCACCCTCTCCACCCCAGGGCCTGCCCCTCCCTAGCTCAAGGCCATGACCCTGACCCCTCTTCTCTCAGATCCCAGAACCTTTGCCTCGGGCTCTCTGCTTCCCTTTCCCTCCTTGGGCTTGTGCTCATTTTTCCAACCAAGGTCCTATCCTTTCCAGGTCCCTCCTGCCTTCCGCCCAGATCCCCTCTGCCCCCTGCCTCCCAAATCCCTTGTCCGAGGCCCTGTTCAGGATTCTGGATTTACTTACGGGTCTGCCCCGGACCCATAGATGGAGTATTTGACTTCGCCCCATGGACCTGTGTCTGGATCTACAGCCTGGAAGAGAGAAAGGTCCTAGAGGTCCCTGCCCTTTGTCGGGGCACATTGGCAGCTCATGTGTCTGAGGGCTGCTTTCCATGGCAATACAAGGGGATTTGGAGTTACCCAACTGGGGAGAAACTTATCTAAAGGACTGCTGTAGAGCCCTAGTTTTCTATCCAGGAGGTCTCAACTGTTGGAGGAACCAAAAGGTTTAGATCTGGAAGGCATGTATCCTTCCTTTGTAAATGACGAAGGAAAAGATGGGTCCTGTGCCCTGACTTCAGGGTTTATGCCTATGTCCTCCTTAGAGTCCTGAGAAGTATTGTTACCCCATTGTACAGAAGAAGAAACTGAGCCTCAGAGAGTTCAGGTAGCTTGTCTAAGGACACAGTTAATGAGTTTGGGCTTTGCGATTCAAACAGGAACCCCGGTTTGTCTGATTTCATCAGGCCCCCTTCAGTGGGGGCTCCTAACCCCAGCCCCAGTCCCCGTGCTAATTCCCAACACACTGTGACAGCCACCACGTTGGAGCCCCCTGGCGCATTCTCAGGGATCCTGGCAATGTAGTAGTGGGAGGTAAACTTGGGGACATTGTCGTTGGTGTCCAGGAGCTGGATCACAACATCTGCTGTGGAGCTGAACTTCTCTGGAGTGTTCAGTTCAATGGCCAGTAGCTGGGGAAGGAAAGAAAATAAGGGCTTGTCTGGGCGGGGGTCACCAAGCAGAAAGCCTTCCCACTTCTGTCTTAGCAGGGTCCAGCACCAGCCTGCCTTGCTGGGCCTTACTCTGTCTCCAGCCTGCGATGCCTGCCACCACCTGCAGGGGGCACCTCTAAGGCCCACTGTCTCGAAAGGCCTGCTTTCTTGGGGTTCTTAAAGTTGTATTTGGGCCAATTTCTTTTGTCCAATTGATTTGCATATTCCTTTTTAGTTTCAATTTCAAAAATTATTTTGTTATATAATATAATTTAATATTTGTTAGGGAAGTTCCTGTCTCATATTCTTTCTTTCTCTTTTCCTGACTATTCTTACAGGTTTATTTCTCCAACTACAAAAACCAGTGTAATTACGTTAAACTCCCTCCACCTCACCAAAGGAAATTCCAGGTAAGACTTAGTTGAAATGATATTGGATTCACTTATCAAGTGATAAAGATTCACTTGATAAGAATTTGCATTTTTTAAACAAGGGGCGCCTTTATATTTCTTGCTTTCTTTATATCTCTTTGTTAAATTCTTGTGCTTTTTGTTATTTAGACGCTGCATATTTCTTATTATCCTCATTCCTAGGAACTTTATCTTTTAGTTGTTATTATAAAAGAGGATCTTTTATTCCATTATTCTCTTTGCTATTTTTCATATGTAGGAACACTCTCAAATTGTGTGTATTAAGTTTGTAATCAATCATGTTAGCAACTTTGCTGTGTTTGTTTTTCCAACATTTCTTAGATTTGTCTAAGCAAACAATAACACCACCTACAAATAATGATAATTTTGTCTCTTCCTTTCTAATGTTCATACCTCTTATTTCCTTTCTTTATCCGAGGAATAACGTTACTCCAGGAATAGTGCTAAATAATGTGATAGCAGGCATCCACAATTTGTTCCTGACTTCATAGGAAGCTTTTAGAATTGCGCTTTTAAGCATGATGTTCGCTGTAGTGGTATGTATATATAATTATAAATAATTATAACCATTTAAATAATATCAATGAGGTATGTTTTTCCTTTTTATTAATGTAGAGTATTTATGTTTATACATAATAGTCATTATTTACATATGTTCGTAATTTTAAACAATCACAGATACAAAGGAGTATTTTTTTCATCTTCTGCTAAAGTTTTTACCAGAATCGATGACAGATGTCAAGTGCACGTGAGAAATATGTCTATCTTGATAATCAAATAGTATTTCTGTCTCAATCTATTAACATGGCACCTTGAATGCCTTTGCTTTCCTGGGACAGTCATGATCTAGGACCGGGGCTCAGTGAGGCTATGTGAGCAGTGAGAGCAGGCTCTTGTACCCTCCCCTCTTCCCATCTCCCACTCATGCCCCCCAGTCAGCAGGAGGGGCAGAGAAACTGAGAGGAAAAAAGGAGGGGCAGGAGGTGACAGGGACCCCTCAGGAATGAATCCAGGAGCTGCTATGAGCTCCTAGGACACCCCCCCCAATTCAGGGTGGTGCAAAGCATCACCTACCTTAAAGGTTAGCACTTTGAACTTTTCAAAGTCAATGGCAGCTGAGTTCTCCACAATGATGGTGACTTGGGCTTCATTCAGGACTGTCAGTGGGACCACTCGGAAGATGCCCCCAGGTCCCACCAGCCGCAGGTTGAATTTGGCATTGGCTCCCTGGGTGACAGAGTTTGGAGGAAGGCAACGGGGAAGATGAATGAGAACAGAAACTCATTAGACAGTCATGCTAAGCGAGGAGGCTTCCTATGCCTTAACCCTGGCAGGTGAGTATTATTCTTTCTTTCTGTTGGCCAGGCCATCGAGGATCAGAAAGATTTAGCAGGATATGGAGACTAAGCCAGGTAACAAACACTTACAGCCTAGCCCTCTGCTGGGCAGAGGAGGCGATGGGAAGTGGTCACAATACCTCTCTGGAGGATCAAATACAGAGGGGCTTTTGTTTGGCTGGCTTCACTTTTTAATTGATTGTGAATGTCATTAGGTTAAGCAGAGAGTCTTTGGTTAGCTACTCTCCCCCATCTCTCTCTCTTGGTTACACTCTCTTGTTTGATTCATTTTGTGACCCGCCAGGCCCCTGGCACATAAGCAGTGAAGGCTGATGAGCTCTCAGCTCAGGACCCTTGGAAGACAGGTGGAGGGCAGGACCACACACCTGGTCTGAGTCGTTGACGGTGATCTTAAGGCCCCGCAGGATCTCTCCCTGAGGTGGGTGCTCATACATGGACAGCTCAAATCTGTTCTGGGGTCCACTCTCTCCATAGAACGTAGGCGGATGGTTGTTGAGGTCCACGATCCTGATGGTGACTGGGACCATGGCCTGAGCAGCTGGGATCCCTGAAGAGCTGACCTCAGTCACCTGGGGTGGGGACAGGTGGCTATTGCTGTGTGGCAGGAAACTCCAAGATGGCCCCACGGATCACCGCCTCGAGGTATTCATCCTCTTGTATAATTTCCTCTCTTTAAGTGGGGCCTGCCCTAGCAACTTACTTCTGATAGCACATGGCAAAGGTGATGAGATATACTTAGTGATTAGACCACGTAGATTGTAACTTCTGTTTTCTAGCAGACTCTTCCCCTTGCTGGCTCTGATGAAATGAGTAGCTATGTTAGAGAGGCTCATGTCTCAAGGAGCTAATGGTGACCTCTAGCCAACAGCACACTAGGAACTAAATCCTGCCCATAATCCTGTGAGCCTGGAAGCTGATCTTTCTCCCATTGAGTCTTCAGATGAGAACCCAGTCCCAGCTGACAATTTGATGGCAGCTACATGAGAGACCTTGAATCTGAGGACCCAGCTAAGCTGAGGAATGGAATCCTGGGCCACGGCCACTGTGAGATATAAATGTGTACTGTTTTACGTCACTAAGTTTGTGGGACTGTTACAACAGCCACAGGCAACAATACAGTGCTAGTACTGATCCCATTTCACAGATGAGGCACAGAGGGGTGAAGTAGTCACCTGGGGTCACACAGCTAGTGAGTAGCAGAGCTGGAACAGGAAGAATTCAGGTGTGTCTGATTCCTTAATCAGTGCTCTTTCCATCTCCCCACACTGGCCCCTCTTCGCAGCCAGACAGATATGGGTTCAAATCCCAGCTCTGCCACATTCTGTCCAGTGTCCATTTAGCCATGGGAAGGCTGCAGGGAAGGGGGGCTACAAAGCCAGGGCCGAGAACCCACAGGCTCCATGTGAACCACTCCCTGTGACAGATACCATCAAGGACCTCCCTCCCCTTGTTCCATAAGCATGCTCTGGCCTTACCTATTCTAAAACTCCCGCTCCCCGGACACCACTCCGTCACAGCCTAGCTGCTGTCCTGAAGCCCTTCTCAGAAGCCTACACCCCCATTTTTCCTAATTCCTACTCAGTTCTCAGCCCATCCCCAACTGAGATACTTCACACTAATTTCCATGCTGCATGCAGCACTGTCACCTCCTTCGCCTTCCTGAGTGTCCTCTGCTAATGTGACTTTGCTCTGTGCGGGCTCCTCTCTACCTCTCTGATCTCTCCTGGGTCTCCTTCACCTGCTCCCACCCCCTCCTCACTCAGCCTCAATGAGCCCACAGCTGTGTCCTCAGCCAGTGCTCCTGTGTCCCCACAGCCATCTCCGGGGTGATCCCATTACCCAAACCCACGCTTCCACAGCCACCTGTATGCTGACACTGTCTCCCCAGGCTCCAAACCTGTATCCCCAAACTCTCCGGGCCTGTCCCACCCAGCCTGCCTCCTCTCCTGTGCTCCTGATGTCATGGTACCGCCCCAGACGCCCCATCCCTGTCCCTTCCCTCACCCCGCACAGCCACATTCTGTGGAGTCAGCCTCCTTCATATTTTGCAATTTCTCTGTTTCTACTGTTCCACCTCCCCTCATCCCCAAGGGCCCTCTTGATTTATCACCTTGATTAATAGCTCTGCCTCCCTGCTTCTCGTCCAGTTCCCTCCAAACTGAAGTTGGGACACGTGTTCTCAAACCCTAGGCTGGGACTGGTGCACAGAATCACTTGGGAGCTCAGCATGTGCAGAGTCCTGGGTTTCTCCCAGACACACTAACTTCCTGTCACCAGGACCAGGTCCTGGAAATCTTTGTTTGCCAAACTCTTTAAATCTGAGAACCCTCCGCGCCCCCTCCCCCGCCAGTCTAAAGCACACAGAATGAGTTTTTTAACAAGACTCTAATCATTCTCAAAACCCTTCAATGGCTCTTTACTGCTCTTGGGCAGGACGAGCTACATAATTTGCAGACCCAGTGAAAAATGAAAATATTTTTTAACAAAAATTTTTGTTAAAAATTGTTTTAAAATCTTGTTAAAAAAATTATCGAGAATTTCAAGACAGCAAGAGCAGAGCATTATGCCCAGCATGGGACCCTTCTAATGGTGATGCCTGTGTAATTACACAGACCACATGCCCATAAAACTGTCCCTGTTCCAGGAAAAAAACTATATCTCATATTCAGGGCTTTCACTCCTCTGGCCCCAGCCTAGATCCAACCATTTCTCTGTCTACATGCTGCCTGTGGACCCTTTGCTCTAGCCCCATGACTCCTTGCTGTTACCCTAGTACATCATGTGCTCTCCCCTCCAGCCTTGGCTCATGGGGCTTTCCTAGCCCACGCTGCCTCCAGTCCGCCCTCACCCCCACCACCGATCTCCACCTGCTGGGTCCTACCCATGTTCAAGACCTTGCTGCTCCAGTCCTACCTCCTTGTGAATTCACGTCTCCCCTTGCCAGGGGCTTTGTGTGCGTCTGCTGCAGGATTCACACAGGCTATGTGAGGCAGGTGCTCTTTGGAGCAACATCTAGCTCCCTCCCTGGGTGGAAGGTGGGTGGTGGGAGTGGGCTGGGTCTCATCACCTTTGGAATCTCCCAGAGCCGGAGGGTAGGAGGGAAAGCCAAGCTAGAGGTACCTGTACGTGCAGCTCATACACCTCTCTCCTGAGCTGGGCAGGGCTCTGCATGACAGAGATGACTCCAGATGTCTCATTAATTTCGAAGTCTCCATCACTCCCTGGCAAGGGGGAAAGGAAAGATGTGCCCTGCAGTTGCACACACAGCCATCGGAGGCACAGGGGAGCCAGGCCAGGCAGGCGGCCTGGTGCTCCTCAGGCATTCCCTCACTGAAGGCTCTATAGAATGTAATTCTAACATCTGGATCTTGCCAATGAGGAAACTGAGTTTCAGAGGGGCTAAGTTATTTGTCTACGATTACACAGCGTGTGTAGAGCCGGGATTTAAACTCACTTCTGAGTCTGGCTTTCAGGTTTCATAGAACTGGCTTCTCTCATGTGCCCTGTGTGTGCGATGGCCAAGAGAGAGGGACAAACAGCCACACAGGCAGGGAGATAAGGAGGGGGAGAGAGAGGCGAGAAAGGGAGGGAGGGAAGAAAGAGGCAGAGGCTGCAGGAGGAGGAACAGAAGAGGGAGAGGAGAGAAGAGATGGGGATGGTGGGTGCTGGGTAATTGTGGGAAGGCTGCACAGGTGGAGGGGTGGGGATGGGGAGCAGTCAAGGGGGGGTCTGTGTGCCTGGGGAAAGGAGCCTGCCTGTGATGATGCCACATTCACGCATGCGTGAGCTGCTGGAGGGAGAGAGTGCACAAGGCATAGCCTAGGGATAGGGCCGGAGAGGCGATGGGGTCTGAGTGAGAGCACACAGACATGAGCACGACTGTCATCAGGCACCCACCCTGTGGGTACTGGCTCCTGGGGGCCACAGAACCCACCCGGGGCCACCGTGACCTGCTCAGTTGCTGCTCAGTTGTACAAAGAACACAGTCTTGGAGCCAGAAGACTTAGGTTCAAATCCAGTGGGAATGTGGGATGGCCCTTTAGCTTCTCTGAGGCTCAGTTTTCTCATCCGTATATAGGGCTAATAGTAGGAAATGTCGTATCATCATTGCCATTTAATTCTTTTAATTCAGCCATATGCTCTAGGCCAGAAATGTGAAAGAATGAGAGGGGCGCCTACGTGGCTCAGTCAGTTAAGCGTCCGACTCCTGGTTTCTGCTCAGGTCATGATCTCAAGGTCACGGGATCGAGCCCCATGCCGGGCTCTGGGCTGGGTGTGGAGCCTGCTTAGGATTCTCTCTCTCCCTCTCCCTCTGCCCCTACCCTCCCCCCCAAAAAATAATGAGGAAAAAAAAACCAGTAACTTTAAAAAGTGTAAGACACATTGCCATCCCCTCTTGTTAACTGGTGTGTGCCCAGGGTGAAGGGACATGAGTTGGTGCCACCCATGTTGCTCTCGGTGCCCCCACTCCATGCTTGTCTCCCTGTTGCTAGACATAGTGACAAGCAGGAGCCAGAGCACATGCCCAAGAAGACTTGTCACCTCCTGGAGGGGCCCAGCACCACCCCCCCACAACACATCTTGTACTTCTGGCTTTACAAATGAGGAAACGGTGACCCAGAGAGGTCTGGGCAGGTCACTCTGGTCACCCAGCAAGGAGGAGCTTTAGCCCAGCGATGGGCCTGTCCCCAAAGTTGCCCCAGACTCACCATTCAGGAGGCTGTAGAGAATCTGGTTGGGCTTGCCTCGATCTCCATCCATGGCAACCACCATCAGTACCTCCGAGCCCTTCGGGGGGACAGAAGCAGCTGCCTGAGGCCAATGGGTGATGCTGGGGCTCTCCCTTCCCCAGATGCCTGCCCCCATCAGAGGGGGGGTGCCACTGCCACCCAAGAAAAGGGCCAGGCCTCTGTGTGGCCCCACACCTGCTCTACAGGGAGACCGGAGCACCCACTGGCTCCCAGGGCTGAAGGGACAGCCTGAGCCCTGCTTCTCCCCACCACATCGGTTCACACGTGGCCACCCAGGGACACTCAGACCCCCCCACGTGGGCCTCCCCCTCACATCCCTCCTTTCCCACACACCACACTCAGCTCTGGCCTCCACTGTCCGGCCCCCAAGCCTCACCCTCACTGCCTCATCCACCTTTTGCCTTCAGAGGTACAGGGAGGGAGTCAGAGACAGGTGAGAGAGGGGCTGGGCACAGAGGAGTCCAGTGTGAAGTCCAGGAACGAGGATGTTTTCCTGGGGCCCCCGGCTGGGGTGCTGTTCGAAGGGTTTGGGCAGGGACGGCACAACTAACAAGCCTGCTCCACCTCAGCCTGCCGCGCCCTCCTAAGCCCCCTACTCGGGCGCTTCTCCTCGGCTTATCCACACTCGTGGCTGCTTCCTGTCTGTCCAAGTGCTGCCTGCTCTCCTTCAGCAATGCTTTCCACCCTTAGCTCCTGGCAGGACAGCTGGCCTCCCCCGGCCCTGCCTTCGGCCCCCACCAGAGGAGCCCGCCATTTCTCCCTCACTCTGTGCTCATCTCTACCTCTCAGCCATCAGCTTCTGGAGAAGCAGTATCGTAGCTTGGGCCCAGCATGTAAGCGGTCCTCAGTAAGTGCTTTCATTATCTCACCAAGTCTAGAATCATCAGACTCAGGGAAAGGAAAATTGATAATGCAATTCAGTTCCACAGAGTCCTTGAGCCGTGGCCGTGTGAAGTCTGCTTCCAGCCTGGTCTCGGCCTCCAGGGAGCGCAAGGTCTGCCCGAGGTGAGGGGGCGTGTAAATACGTGGGTGTACCCCAAGGAGGGGTGTGCATAGCGTGGGAGCGGAGAAGAGCGCTCCCATCTCAACCAAAGATGTCAAGGAAAACAGTGCCTGGGCTGGCCTGACAAGGGCAAGGAGCGTCAGGCCCGCGGGACGGTCTCAGGCAAAGGCTAAGGACACAGTGGGGACATGGGCTGGGTGCTTGGAGGCTGGTGAGGACTCAGGGGTGGAGGGGAGGCCGGGCCTTAGATGCCAGGCCTAGGGATAGGACCTTCCCTGAGAGGCCTGAAGACAAGCATAGTCACCACAACACCAGAGGCAAAGACTGCACTGAGGGGGAGGAAGCTGAGGCCATCCTTGGAACTGGGCCTGCGGGACAACTACTGGTCTGAGCAACCCCAGGCTATGAGCTTGGAGCTGGGGAGGCGTAAAGGAATCTCACCCTCCTCGTCCACACAAGGTGTAGAAAAAGCCCCACCCACACCAAGGCAATGGACCACCTTCCAGCCTCTCTTCTCAGCCCTTTTGAGGGGCTGAACACTGCCAGCTGGATGACAGTAAGTCTGAATGAGTGAAGAAATGCCTGTCACAGTCTTGGCGCCCAGCAGGTGCTCCACACACCAGCACCTGCTTCTTCTCCCTTACACTCCCACTGGCAAAAGGACAAGCTCATGCACTGAGCCCGAGCCAGCCATGTGATGAGGGTGACCCAGGGCCAAGCCACAGGGGATCCCGGGGCCGTGGTGTCTGGAGGGGACGCTGGGCTGAGGGGCCAGCCACCCACCGGAAGGGTGTCCTCATATACATAGCCGTAGTAGGGTATGCCCACGAAGATAGGGGCCATGTCCTGCACGTCCTCCACATTGACTGTGACCGTGGTGGTGGCGGAGAATACCACGTCAGCCCCTCGCAGCCTCCCTCCGCCATCCTGGGGAAGAATCAGAGAGTGAAGGGGGGTCGGGCTCTGGGTGGCCCCCGGTGCAATTTGGCTTCTGCCACTTCCTGGCCTTGAGACCAGCTGCCCTCTCTGATTTCTGTTTGGCCCTGTGTCACCTGGAGATCATTTCCGCCTCACAGGGGTTATTTAGATGAGAGGATGCGTGGAGGTTTTAGTCAGCTCACTCAAAAGTGTTCCTTTGGAAAAAAAGAGTGAATTCTCACTCCAGGAAAACCATGGTGGAGGAGGAGGGTTCAGAATATTCTCCCACCTACCAGGAGCCAGGCCTCAAACACCTCCTGGGAACCTACTAAGAGCACGACTTGGGCCCACGCCTGAGCCTGCGTGATGCAGGTGTGTGCCCAGCAAGCCCAGCCCCCGTGGCTTATCGGGCAGGGGCTACGGGCTGCAGGGGGCTGGCCTGTGGCCAATATGTGACCAGCGAGGGCCTTTCTTTTCCTGGAAAAGAAAACGTTGGGCCCGGAGGGACAGCTGGGGTTTCCCGCCCTCAGGGGACAGAGCGGCCACCTTGGCTGAGCACCTGCTGACCTGCAGATCCCATGCGACGCACTTTAGAAGTCTGAGGAACTCAGCTAAGCCTCACGGGTGGGCAGATAAGGAAGCCAAGGATCACAGAGAGGAAGAGGTGAGGTGAGCAAGCCCAGGCAGAGACAGGGAGGTGCCCAGAGGCCAGGCTGTGGGGGATGTGAGGGAGCATGGGTCTCTAGGCCATGGCCACCTGGTCCTCCGGAGGGGAACCTGGCCTGTCAGTCCTCATGGGGCGTACACCCTCTTCCAGCAGGGAATATGCCCTCTCCAGCGCACGCGCCCCAGCCTCCCTGGAGACTATGTCCATGTCCTGGCAGGGTCCACATCAACAGAGGTTCTGGTCAGCCGCACCCCCACCCCCACCGCCGTCACATCTTCAGCCCTCCAAAGCGCCCCCACTCCCTTACAGAACCGAACTCTGTTCCAACCCCAGGGCAGCTTCCCTTGGCAAAGGCTGAAGAAAGACCAGATGCTCCGCCTTCCTCCCTCTCTGTTACCTTGGCAACCACGGTGACAAAATGGGCCCGGGCCTTCTCGTAGTCCAGCGTGGCCCCTGCCCGGAGGCGCAGCACGCCACTGTGGCGGTCCAGGGCAAATTTGGTGGCTTGCACATTCTGTAAGAGTGAGGGGCAGGCTGGTCCTCGGAGGGGAACCCAGGCCAGCCGAGGAAAGGCCGCTTTGCTTACCGACGGGGGGTCTTCACCGTCCTTTGTCGCAGGAACTCCGGCCCTCGGGTCCCCCTCCCGCCCCTCCGCGTGCTCCCGGCAGGGCCCCGGCCTACTTGCCGCCCAGCTGCCAGCTCAGCTCTGGCCTGGACTTTCTAGCAGGTGGACTTAGCAGCAGAGAGCTCTAACCTACAGGCAGTGGGGGCTCAGAAGCCACAGTGGTGGAGACAGCCTTCAGGATCTTCCCACCCCAGCAAGTAAGGGACTACGGGCCAGTCACAGGCAGCGTGGGGGATGGTGGAGGGTGGGTGGGGACAGGAGGCGATCCTCAAGCTGGAAAAGGGGTTACTGTGTGTCACGAGCTGTTGTGGAGCTTTACGTGTATTTAATCCCCACAAGAACCCGTGAGGATGGGCTTGTGCCTTTCCCGTTCGGCACGTGAGGAAGGACAGCTGGGAGAGCTAGATGAGGGGTTCAAGGCCCCACGAGGAGGTGGCGGAATCTTTCCAGTACAGGTGGAGCCCGGGGGTTTCTCCAGAACCCCTGTTGTCAGCCACCGGGCGGTACTGCCCTGACAGTTGTGAGAGCCCAGGACTAACCTCGGAGGGCTGAGGAGCAGCCACGGGGGCGCAGCTGCGAGAGGCGCGGCGGGTTCCTGAGGAGCCCAGAGAGGAGGACGAGGTGCGGGAAGGGGGTCTCGGCCTTTGACGGGGTTGGGGGAGTGGAAAGGGGTGGGGCGCATGTGTCACTGCTCTGTTCCTCCTGACAGATCCCCCTCTGCCCTTTTTCCTCTCCACAATTCTAGGCCCAGGGAAGTTTTTCTACCCTGTGTGGGTACAATGCGCCCAGCCCTCTCCTGGGGAAGGGGTTCCGGGGGAGAGAGCTGAGGGTCCTGGAGACCCAGGGAGAAGGTGGCAGGGAACCGAGAGGGAGCCAGGGTGGACCGGTCAAGGGAAGACGGCTTCCACCCACGCTCCTCTCACGTCCCCACCAGCCCAGCCCAGCCCGGTGGAGCTGAAGTGACGTCTTTGACAATCTTTGGGAACAGTGGAGGCTGTCTCAGGGCCTTGGTGATGGAGGTGGTGGCCCTCCAGGTGTCCCCTCTAGCCCAGGCCTCTGGTAGGGACCTTACCTGCAAGAAGTAGGTGACAGCCCCTCCAGAGCCTGTGTCCTTGTCCACTGCATGCACCTTAATGATGCTGCTCCCAGCAGGTATGTCCTGAGAGGTCACAGCCATAGTGGGGGGTGGGGTCAGTCCTGGGGCAGTGACACAATGCTCAGGGGACTGGGGGTAAGGGAGCCATAGAAAGGTGGAGCCAGGGAGTGAAGGGCTAAAAAGAGGTGAAAAGGTGATGATTAACCAGGGAGCACCCCACTGGGGTGGAGGGGACGTGCCAAAGTCACAGTGGGTTCAGGGAAGAAGGAAAGGGGAAAGAAAGGAACAAACAGACATCCTCCATCCTCCAAAACTAAGACTCCAAATAGACAAAGGGTTTAAATATGAAATGGAGAAATGGTTAATAGACACATTCCACATAACCAGGGATCACGTACATACCATTCAGAGCCAAAATGAAGTATATTTCTCCTACTGAATTAGCAAACATTAAAAAATTCGAGACTCCCCAGTGTTGGTGAGGGATGGGGAGACAAAGCCCCTCCCACATCCTAGGCGAGAGAGCCAGCAAGGGCTGCTAAGGCAGCTCATGCTCTCAGCCTTGTCATTTCACATCTTGGACCAGATCTTAAGGAAATCATTCTAATTAGCTATATGGAGGTTTTATGTTAATGTTCAGAATTTTACGTTTCTTATGACAGCAAAAATATAAAGCATCTTAAATATCCAAAGGTAGAGGACTGGTTCAGTCAATGATGGAATCTGCACTAAATGGAAGCTATTAAAATGACAGTTACCTAAACTTTACAATTACTGAGGAAATGCTTATGTTGTAAATTAAGTGAAAGCAGCATACAGAAAGCGTATGTTTAGTGTCATCACAGTTATGTAAATAAAACAAACAAAATAAATCCAGTAATCCCAAAATGACTCGAAAGAACAGCACCAGAATTTGACAATGTTGTCTCAAGCTGGAGGGATGGAGGGTGATTTTTGAAACTCGTTTTTTTTCTACTCTTCTATATATTTCACATTTCTACAATAAACATACATTATGGTTTTAATGGAAAACGGTAAATGGACCCTCCTGTAGATAAAAATGGGTGTGTGAGGGGATGGCAGCAGAGATGAGGGGAGGACATGAAGGGGAGGGCCCTCCAGAGGGCAGTGAGGAGGTGCTCTTCACGCTGGGGCCGGTCTCCTGGGGCAGGTCACAGGGCAGCCCAGAGGGTCGGGAGGGCATCAGGGTGGGAATGCATGGGCTCCACCTAGGGGCCTCTTGCTTACCTCAGGAACCTGGACAACGTAGGGCTCCTGGATGAAACTGGGGGCCTCATCATTGGCATCCGTCACCAGGATCGTGACTTTTTCTGCCACCTGAGAAGGGGCAAAGGGGACAGGAGTTGGGGCAGTGAGACTTTCTGGGCAATAAAGGGACAGTGGCCTCTAATACCCCAGGTGTATGTCTCTGCCTGGTGTCTCTCCTTCTTCATCCCTTCCTACCCCCTCTCCCTTCCCCCTCTTCTTCCTTCCCTCCTTCCTTCCTTCTTTTATTCATTCATGCAACAAATACTATGAAGCAACCACTTGGTGCCAAGCACTGTGGTCCATCCCAGAGACAGAAGACACGATCTGATGGTGTGTGTTTTGCAGAATGGGATGGCAGAACAAATCCACATATAAAAGAAAGGTGGTGATCTCATGCAGGGTGCTAACAGTGGCATGCCAGGCACTGTGGGCAGGGCCCCTGTGCTATATGACTCTGGGGGCACTATGGCCTAGGTAAATGCACCCCTTAGGTTTGTGGGTACATGGTTTAGGAGGCTGTCTCCAGAGGCCCCGAGAAGAGGCATCTAGCCCAGCCAGTGGCTGGGACAGCAGGGAGGCTTCACAGAGGAGTGCGATTTAAGCTCTGCAGGAGTTTGTCAGGAGAGAGGGAAAGAGGTGGAAAGGTATGCCAGGAAGAAGGAACAGCACATGCAAAGGCAAAGAGGAGTGATATGTGTGGCGAGTTCAGAGGACATAAGCAGATTTGGGGCTAGATGGTTGGGAGGGTGAATATGGGAGAGAAGGTGGGCAAGGCAGATAGTGACGAATGCGGAGGCCCTGAGTGCCAAACTAGGGCTTGGACTACATCCCGAGGGCAGTGGGGCCTGCTGTGAGTATTTTCACAAGCCGGCTCTGGCCAGGTCTAACGTTTCATGGTGATGGCTCTGGCTGAACTTCAGAGATGGATTGGGGTCAGGTAGCCTGGAAGCTGGGGAACCCTTGAGATCACCCTGGCAAGCGGTGATGAGGGCCGGGCAGAAGTGGTGTCTGTGGGGAAGGAGGTAAAGGGGCAGCCAGGTCTGGGTGACTGGGCAGGAGCTGGTTGGAGGAGGCAGACGGGAAAGCATCCCCACTGCCTCCCCTGGTGCAGCCCTGTCCTGGGGGCATGTTGGAGCAGATCTCGATGGGCCTCGGCTTAGATTTGCCAGAGAGCCCCTAGGAGGGAGAAGGAACTGTGGGCAAGCCCAGGGAGTGAGTAGTGCCAGGGGGCTGGCTCAGGGGCGCACTTACCAGATTCACGCCATCCGAAATACTGATGATGGCTTCGATCTCATCCTCCCTCTGTAAAGCATAAGGATTGAGTGAGTGCCTGGGAGTCTGATGTACCTGGGGACCCTGAGGCTGTGGGGGGAGGCTCTCCCTGCCCCCATGGAGCCCACCAGAGCAGACCTGGGCATTTCAAAGGAGCCCTGGTGCAAGGCAGGGTGACCAAAAGCTGCCTCTGGCTGTGCTTGAGACCTTGTCTCAGCCCATCAGAGGTTCTCATAAATCCACAGTAGTATTGAGGCACTAAGAGAGAATGTTCCACTGCTAGAATGAGGACAGATGCTAATCTAGTGTGCTGGACGTCCCAGGGAGCTGGGGTTTCCTTTTTTTCTTCCTTCCCCTCATCTCTCCCACATCTCTCTGTATTCCACGGTCCAGGTCTGCAGTATCTCAAGCACTCCCTAGCCCATGGTGGGACCTCAGTGAGGAGGGTATTGAGGTCAGCAGGCCCCCGGGGTGCCGGGGAGGGGTACACGATGACACTTCCACCTCGGGGTCCCTACACCAGCCTCTGAGACCCACCTTTCCTTTCTATACCCTGGCCTGCAGCGGGTGGAGTCGGCCATCGGACCAGAGAGGGAGGTAAGCCCATGGTGGAGGTCCAGTTATATGGTCCGCGAGGCCCACCAGCCTGGTGTGGGGTCTCAAAAGAGAAATGTAGCTCAGGCCCTGGCACCCGTAGGTTCAGAAAGGTGCAGAGCGATGGAGGAGTGGAGGTTTACCAAACTCAGACCAACTCTCTAAACTACTCTTTCCCAGGCTGGTTCAGTCAGTAGAACATGCGACTCTTTATCCTGGGGTCATGAGTTTGAGCCCCGTGTTGGATGTAGAGCTTATATTAAAAAAAAAAAAAAAAAAAGACTCTTTCTAGCCCTGATCTGCTGTCAGTTTTCTGTGGCTTACAGGACCTCTCCAGGGATAACCTCTAGGGAAACTTCCAGCCCACAGAGGTTTGTCTGCACACCTGGGAGACAGCACTTCTCACACCTCTCCATACCTCTCTGTCCAGCTCTTCAACCAAGGTGATGTTTCCGAAATTGGGGTCAACAGAAAAGACACTTCTAGTGCTGGGGTCAAAGCTGATGTGGTAGGAGACAGGGTCTCCCTCGGGGTCTGTCCCATTCAGAGTATATACATGAGAACCTGGAAGGAGACACAGAAGGGGAGACTAGAATCTGGGACCCAACTTTTCCTAAAAGTGGCATCTGTTCAGGACCAAGGATTCAGCTGTTTATAAGGTAGGTATTCAATCCAGTGCTAAAAGTCCCGCCCTGAAGTGAGCATTGGCTGCAGGCCTCACCCCTGTGGGCTGCTTCCCACCCTCTAACATTATTCTACATAACTGTCGGTGAGATGTTAGTATCAGCCACTGTACGGATTGTAATCCATAATACAGATTACAGAGGAGCTTCAGGTCTGCTGTGCCTAACTCCAGGGCCTCTGTCTAGTATCGATTCCTGTCCCAGGAGCCGAGACTAGGGTTCCCTGGGTATGGGGGATGGGAGAAAAGGGAGGCAGCATTAAGGCAGGAGGGGTGACCCATGATGCAGCACTGTGCCCCCATGTCTGCATTAGTTCTTCAGCGACTTCTGAGTAGGTGCGTCTTTTACACTGCTATCCTCTGCTCAGGGTTCCCAACCCAGAGAGAGAGAGAGAGGGAAGCAGGGAGAATCTCCTTTTTCCCCTTCGCCCTTTCTCACGCATATCCCAGCAAGCTGGATGTTCTTAGGCCTGTTTAAAGCCTCCGAAGCTCCCAAGCTCCAGGAGGTAAGTATATTTGCTCAGTGAGTAAGGGGCAGTGCTGTGGCCAAGCCTAGGGTTTATCATCACGCTGCCAACTGCTGCCTGCTGTCTGGGGGTGGCCCTGTCTCTGGGCCCACAGCCGGGTCTCCAGGACTGGCTCGGCTTAGGTCTCCATGACAGCCATGACCTCCTTTCCAGCAACTGCCCTGGGGAATTCAGAGCCCAAACAGGGCGCCCCGGGAGGGCCCACAGCCTGGCCCTGGGTGTCTCCATAGGCTCAGAGGAGTCACGGGTTCAGTCCTTGTGTCCAGGGGAATGTGGGCCACCCTCCGGGAAACCAATAGGGGGCCAGGGCCAGGGCTACTCACCTACAGGGGTGTCCTCTGGGAGGCTGAACAGGGCCATGTTTCCGTTGGTGCTGCCCACCCCATTGTCGAAGAAGTGTGGGGCGAAATTGGCCTGGGCTAGGAAGAGAACAGGCAGAAGCATGGACACAGGGTGGGACAGCTTCACACCTGCATGGTCACACGTCTGGTCCTAGTCTGCCCAGGCTGGCAGTCTCCTCCCCAACCCCAGCACACCGACAGACTGGGCTGGGAGCTGCGGAGAGGGTCTCTCCACCACCACCTCCTCCTGCTCAGGCTTGGCTCGGGCTTGTCAGGGGCTTGCACCATCTGGGGCACTTAGAACCCAGGCAGCGGCCAATCTCAACCCACCAATGGACAGACTGGGAACCCCGCGCCCAGAGAGGGGCCATGTCCTGGCCAAGGTCACACTGGGAGCTGGGACACCCTCCTCTGCCCCAGCAGCCTTCAGAGCAGCCACCAAACCTCCCACCCTGCTTCTGAAGAAGCCGAGGGCAGCGGGGGTCCTGGCCCCAAATCGGGGGTCTCCAGGGTACCTGCCAAGCCCGGCAGCTGGAAGGATCACCCCACCCCGTCCGTCCCCACCCCCCCCCACGCCCGAGTCCCACGGTGGAAGTGAGAGGCCCGGAGCTCTCCCTCCGCCGCCCACCCGGGCAGTGCCGGCACCCGCGCCTCGCCCCGACCCGGCGCTCGGGGGCCCGCGCCCACTCACCCAGGCACAGGCGCAGCAGCTCCAGGGCCAGGGCGGCCCCCGGGCCGCGCCTCATGTCTCCGCGGGCGGAGAGTGGCGCTCGGGGGCCCGCGGCCACTCACCCAGGCACAGGTGCAGCAGCTCCAGGGCCAGGGCGGCCCCCGGGCCGCGCCTCATGTCTCCGCGGGCGGAGAGTGTCGCTCGCCACAGCCCGGCCGGGCGCAGGAGCGCGGAGCATGCCCCGGGCCGCGCGGAGGGGCAGAGACTACCGACGGCGGGGGCGGCGGCGGCGGCGGCGGCGGCGGGAGGGGCGCGGGGCGGGGGCGCTGGGTGGCGCGAGGGCGCTAAGCGGATGACACCGCTCGGATCCGCGCGGCTGGAGCGCTCCCGCTGGCCGCCAGATGAGACCAATTAGTGCGCGCGGAGGTGAGGGCACCGGCTCCCAGCTGCGAGAGGCGCCGGGAGGGGTGGCGGCGAACTCCTCTCCCTACCACGCCCCCCTCTGCCCAGGTCTGGAGCGCAGGCGCCGAGGGGTCCCCAGCCCCGCAGCCCGGAGGACTACCGGGGAGGGGGCCCTGAACAGGGCATTGGAAAATTGGGGCTTCTCGGGGTCTCCAGGTTCTGGTGGGCCTGGGCTTCGCAGGAGGTTTCCCTTTTTATGATCTTCCACTGTGACTTTGAGGGAGTTTGGCAGGGAACAGCCCAGCCTGAGTCTAGAGGGGTCCCTCCCTAGAGGTGGAATGTGCAGAAGGGGGTGGATCCACTGGTGGGGGGGTGGGGTTCCAGGGATAGTGCCTCTGAAGGCTTGGGGTGGGGGTGAGACAAAGAGGAGGGTTGTTGTAGGGTGAGGAGCAGATGGGGAGGGGTTATCAGGCCCACCTCACTGGGATCCCAACTCTTTCCTGTCCTGCCCCCCAGGCCAAGCCAGCTGTCCTAGCGGGTGGGATAGTTAGCTAGTGTGATCACTAGTGGGGGTCCACATATGTGGTAGGCAGCAGGGGTGGGGGGGGTGTTCAAGTCACCACTAAGTTGGGAGGCAGAAGTTACCAGGTAGCAGGTTGGTCTCACTCCCTATGTCACTCCCAGTGTCCAGTGGGTGCCAATGGAGAAGTAGCAGACCCACTCAAGCCTTGTAAGGAAGGATGAATGGCCTGAAGGCAGAATCAAGCCCCTCCCTGGGACAGACTTGCCAACAGAGCTGGCCAGCACACATATGGACTGCCCCAGGGAGGGGTGAGCTCCCTATCCCCGAAGGATATTTAGTCAAAGCAAGGTGCTGCTATGGGGGCCCTGGATGCTAAAAAGTAGGAGAAGCAGGTAAGCTTAGAAACCTTCTTGGTTGTTGGTAGATTTCCCTGGACTGGACCCTCATTCTCTTGCTCTGATATTGGAGTTTGGTTGAATGGAGAAGCAGCCTGGTCCCTTCTACTCACAGGGGGCACAAGGAAGTCACTTCAGGCCCAAGCTTGATCATGTCCCAGGATGGTCTTGGAAGGGTGTGTTCACAGACCGAGGAGACCCTTTGTGTGCCTCCTGGAGAGGCCTCCCTGGCTGGGGTCTTGATATTCCTCCCCAGGGGCCTTCATCAGAGCAGAACATCACCTATGCCCCTGGGCCAGCCCTCCTTGATCTACTGTTAGCAAGAGTTAGAGATTCAGGACAAGGAGATGAATCAGTAGTCCCAGAGTGTTGGGCAATTTTCAGGCCCATTTAACCAGAACCCTTTTCCTTGAATCCCCATGGGTTTGGCCCTTTGGCTGGAAAATGCACTTTATTTTTTTTTAAATATTTATTTATTTATTTGAGAGAGAGCACGCATGTGTGAGCAAGCTGGGGGAGAGGCAGACTGAGAAGAGCAGACTCCCCGCTGAACATGGAGCCGACTGCTACCTGGGGCTCCATCTCAGGACCCTGAGATCAGGACCCTGAAATCACAGCCTGAGCCAAAACCAAGAGTCAGATGCTTAACTAACCGAGCCACCCAGGTGACCCTGGGAAATGCACATTAAATTGCACAGACATTTCTGTATCTTTCTGTCACAAAAGGCTGGGACAAGGCCAAAGCAAGTTTCCACAGGTCTCCATAGAGATAAGGAGACTGGGGCTTTCTGTGGATCACTCAGTGTGCTGGAGGCAGCAACGGTGTCCTGGGGCAAACATCCTGCCAGTGGGCTGAGCTTTCCCTGTGTCTTGTCTGCCTACTTCCTTATCACTTGACTTCTCTGGCCTCAGTTCAGTCAACAGACTTGCACTGGAGAGGGATACTGAAGGAGTACCCCCACATGCCGTGTGTGTGTGTGTGTGTGTGTGTGTTGTCACCCCTATTATCTCGTGTAAGCAGTATGATCTCTTCTGATGCGATTGTCTCTGCTTTGGAAAAGAAGAAGTAAAGCACAGAGAGGGTAAGTCACTTGTCCAGCTTCACACAGCCAGTGAGGGACAGAGCCTAGAGTCACATCCAGTTTGGGCCTGCTCCATAAAAAGTTGAAACTTTCGGTGGCAGAGGGAGATGACCATGAAGCTACTGAAGCTTCAGGGCCTGGGACCCTGGCTTACACGTCTCTTCTATAGCCTTAATTTTATTTGCAGTTTATATATATATTTTTTTCCTTAAAGGGGCCACCTCCCTTCAATTGTACAGGCTCAGATCTGCTAGAATGACTTGCTGTCCTGGTTTGCCTGGGACTGAGGGGGTTTCCAGGGATGTGGGACATTCAATGCTAGAACTAGGAAGGTCTGGGGTAAACTGGGACAAGCGGGCCACTGTAGATCTATCCCTGTCCACAAAGCATTTGAGAACCTGGGAGAACAGCAGTTCTTCACGGAGATTCTCACCATGGTCTTGACCTTTAGTGTGGAGGAATGAGAGGCTCTGTGGAGGGCTCAGTGTATCATAAGCTGGGAAGGGCTCACCTGCTGTGAGACACAGAGCTTGGCCCTCACCTGCAGACCCTGGGCAGCCTCAGACACACGTCACCTTATCCTCCACATGTCTATCGCCCCTGCAGGGTGACAAGCCCCCTCTTCTAAGGCCACCTATAACCATGGCACCTGTAGTGAAACACCAAATCAGTTTCACCTCTCGGTCAGGTCTGACAGCGTTTCCTCAGGTAGATTGACAACAGCTGGTCCAGCTGTCAGTACGTGGGAATTCAAGTGTCAGCTGCCAGCCTGGCATGTGAGTGTGTTCTTCCTCCAGCTGCCACCACACCAACCCAGGCTCTTAGAACCTCCTTGCCCCTGTCTGATCTACCTGAATGTGCTAACCCATGGTGCCTTGCTTGCTCATGCACACACTTAGACAGCTGCACACACACACACAAGTTCTGGTCCCATTTGCACACTCACGCATGTAGACCATCTATGTGTGAATCCGTTCCCATCTCCTTGTGTAAACATGCATGCCCAGCACATGCACACCTGCACCAGGAGAAGTAGGGCAAGGAGCTCTCCAGGCCCTTAGTGCTGAGGATGTGGGGAACAGCAGGTGCCTGCTATTCAGACTCATCTTCCTAAGGACCCTGACCCGGGAGGAGGAAAGGACAGGTCTCCAGCACTCTGATTCTGCCCTAGCTGTCTGAGATAAGACCATCTTGCAGACTGACCTCTGCCCCAGTACTGGGCATCCTGAACTGTTCTGTCCAGTTGCTGAGTTCCAGAACAACTGTTCGTGAGAGAGCAGCCCTTGTCCAGGGCGGGATTTGGTACGGAGCATGAAGGCATAGGATCAGGAGATCCCAGTAGGGCTGGATGTACACTCTCTGGACGTGACTGTGAGGCCCATTTATCCCAGCCCAGGTAAGGTCCAGACGACTGTCCTCTGTGGTTGTGGGCCTCAGGGTGTACCCACCTGGCTGGAAGTTGGGAATCTCTTGCCACAGCAGTGGGCTCTGGGGTTAGTGGCTGAGGGGCCTGGGAGCCTGGGACACCATCTACTCTGAAATGTGGCCTTCCCTGTCCCCTTGCTCTGTCCAGGCCAGGTGTAGGGTGGCTGTCTCTGTTTCCTCTGACATGTAGATGGGATTCCTCCCCTATCTGTCTAAGGTGCTGCCTGTCCCCCTAACCGAGGTACTAGGCATGAGTCTGGGGCTAACAACTGTTTTCCAGTACCCATCTAGTTGGCACTAGTACCCACTTGTTCGGACTCCTGGGTTGTGATGCTGGCTCTTGGTCAGTGACACTCACTCACACAGGTGGGCAGAAGCTCCAACCCGATGTTGCCTGTATTCACCCCATAGTACTCTCCTTTGTCATCCAGCCTGCCTCCTGGCTGAGTCTAGGTAAGGGACACAGCAAAGAATGTCTTCTCCTCCAGAAGGGTTTTTTCCTCTGGCATCTTCTGTCCCCAAGTGAAAGTGGTCCCTGATTGGGACATTGACAGGGTCTTTAAAAGACTTTAGTGCTGTAATCTGTCTGCTTTGGTATCTCCTGCCGAGTGAACCATTTAGGGCAGAGACCATGTCATGCATAGGTTTCTTCAGTATCTACACAGGGCTTGTCACATAGTAGGTCTTCAGTGGGTAGTTGTTGACCAGCTGAAGGTGTAACTGAATAAATGAATGCATGAAGAGGTCCCTGATGATGTCATGAGTCTTGCTTCCTGGTCCTAGTCAGCATCTAATCCTCTGCATGCCTTTGACATGCTTCCTCCCCACTCCATCCTTCCTTAAGTTGAGAGACTGGAGTAGCCAAGGGCCATCCACTGAAATGCCTGCTGAGCCAGGCAGGAGGCTAGTGTGTGTGAAGAGGCTGAGTGACAGGCAGCAGGGGTGGTGGAGACTGCTGCACATGGATACATGTTCATATCCACAGTGTCTCGAAACACTGAGTACAACAAGCAAAATGGCTGCCTTTTGATGTGGAAAAGAACCTATTTTTCTGTTCTGCTCTCTTGTGACTTGACACCTCCCATCTTCTGGTTCACACTTTGCAAATCCTGAGGGGCAGTGCAGTTTGGCAGACTAAACAACCCATGAGCCGGAGATCTTTTCCAGAGATGGAGCTGTTGATAACAAGTCTGCCAGATGCCTCTGGACCTGTCCACGTGGTACAAGGCTGCTAGTAAACAGGCAAGGTCCAGCCACTGCTTGGGGCAGCAGACTAGAACCCTGGACACATTCCTACCCTAGAAGTTTTATGATGCTTCCAAGGCGGGGGAAAAGGGCTGTGGAGTCAGTCAGGGGAGTCATGTGGGGGGTTCCTGTGTGACCATTATCCAGCCGGGGCATGGCCTCTGCAGCGTACCAGAAGGTGGTCTCTTCTGCCCAGTTTGCCCGGAAATCAGCTCGGAGCTGAGTCAG